TTTATTTTATTTGTGCTACATTTTTATATCTGGAAATGCTATATTAATTGAGAATGCAGTTCCTACAGCCCTGCAGAAATAGTGAACCAGGTCTTAAATGACTACAAAATATATTAAAGCAGGAAAAAAGTAGAATTCATCCAATCAGTTCTTTTAATAAATTTTATAACTCAAAAGAAGAGGTGCACTCCTTATAAGGCATGTTCCTTGTGGTACAAATGAATGGTCAGGCTATTTTTTTTCCCCATATAAAAATATATCTGATGTATCTTTCTGAAAAACAAAAAAAATCCCAAAAAAACCCCAAAATAAAAAGAAGAAACTTCACCTGTTGCTTTCAATAACTTGCAAGGATAGGAATAGGAAAGGATAGGACAGGTACCTTGTCAATCACAGTGGATTTCCTACACTTCTTTTGAGGTCACAGTGGTGTAATAAATAAAGAACACATCTGTTCTATCTGGCTGTGGAGTCCTGCAGCTAGATGCTGATGTTCTAATTACAGCAGCATTCAGAGATGGGACATTTTCATCTAGGCCTACCTTAAAAAGACTGACTACATGGAATATTCTATTATAATGCTGTCTTTAATGTGATATACGTTACAATAGTAAAAAGAAATAAAAGGACATTGATTTTTTTTTCTGTGTGTTGTGGCATGTGGGACTGGGTTTTAAAAGCAGCATCTTTTAATCTGTAGCAGTGGTGATTCTGCATGTGGAGTGAATGAAAACAGTTCTGAAGTGCTCAGACTGCTGCAGTGAGCTGCAGTCCAGACCTCCATATTTGCTAGTGGTGAATTATTCCAACAGCTGGCAGCTGATGCTGCTCAGGGACTCAGGAACATGTTGTGGTCAGCTGTGGCTCTCTCCTGGTGACACCTCTCTGGCTATGAAAACAGCTGGTGGCCAGGGTGAGAATTCACCTGCATCTGGATGGTGAAATTATTTATGCTCCACTACGTGAGACTTTGAAGTTTGCTGTCCATGATGCATCTTGGCACATGAGCAGCAATGAATTGGCACCAGCACACAGACCTGTGCTACTGGAGGGAGTGAGGTCTGGGAGTTCTCTTGTCTCTACTCCTCAGGCCTCTGAGCAAAGTTGAATTTTAGAGCAGTTCTTTTCATAGTGTTCTTTGCTTCTTCCAGGTGTATAAATGCAGCAATATCTTGCAAATTAATTTAAGAAATTTTTTGTGCTCAAATAATTTCTGTAATCCCATGATGAGTTTTCCACTTTTGTGTTCTTGGGGAAATTGCTCTCTGCTTCCTTCATGTTGCATAAGTGATGACTGCTAGTGAGTGTTACGGGAGCAAGAAAATGTCCTTAGCAGTCAAGACACTGCTCTGTTCTAAAGTCTGCTGTTAGCTGCCCTGGGCAAAAGCAAATTGGTGTGTCTGTCCCACTGCCAGGATGATCTCTAGAATGTTGAATATTGAGACATTGTTTAGATCTGCCCTGCTCAGGCCTGTTAACTTGTGAATCCCTGGTGTTTATTACAGTAGTGCTTGGGCAGCAGTGGGCAAGAACACAGAGCGAGGCAGACAGAAAGCAGAAAGTGAAAAATACAGTGAATTCCCAAATGCCTGCAATTAATAATTTTAACAAATGCATCACTGTTTCTTCATATTGGCTGCCTGCTGTTTCCACTCCTCTTTCTCTGCATGCTCAATATTTTTCTCCCATCTGTCCCTTGGCCGTAATGATGGGACAGATGCACTGCCTGAGTCTTCCTCTTGGAGCTTGGATTAAAACAACCTCATTGCTCCATTCCTCCCCAGCAGTATTTATGTGCTCATGTTTCATCATCTCCCCCTCTCCCATTTTCTCTGTGCTGTCTTATAGGTGTATAGATATATATGTAATATGCTCTCTTTCATGGTTTGAATAGAAATACTGTATACACGAGGTGTGAAATATTGATTGCTACATACACATGTATATATTTTTATATGTAAATATATATGTGTGTATATATGTACATATATCTGTGTCTACATATAAAATATGTGTTGGATGCCTTTTACCTTTCACTGTAGAAGATGCTCTGTATGGTCTTTTTATGATGTGAAACAACATATTCTTCATTGTAACTGGCCCTTGCAACTCTGTAAGAAAAGCTTTTAAACTAAAAACCTCAGCAGTTTCTTCATGAGGTTCTGTTAGGATCAGCTGTGCTTTGAACTGTTAAAAACTGTCATCTGTGTTGCATGTTTTCCTCAGGAGATATTTTGGGTATGTTAAAATCATAGCTAGGGAGAAAAAGGAGCAAGAATAGCATCTGCTGTGCATGGAGGGTCTGAGAGCACAGCTCGAGTCCATCCGCTGCAGGTCACTGCCTTCCTCTCCTGGCTGCAGTGTGAAAAGTTCATGGTGCAGGCTGCTGGAGGAGGGGAGGAAGCAAATGTTATTGTTAATGATTTACTGTTTGCTTTTAGCAGCACCAGTCTTGGGAGTTTGTACTAAAATTCCCCCTAGAACAGATGATTTGGCAATTAATACAATCTTCTCCCCACCAGCACCTCCAGTTAGGAAGTACCAGTGCATTCTGTGTGTGTGCAACTCAGTTCTTGTCACCTCTGCAAATGCTTTAGGTTGTAGCCTTTGCATTTTGATATCTTTAGCAACAAACTATTTTTTCCCTAAAATACAGTTTTGTCTTCAGTGCTTAGGTTAGCCTGAGACTAAGAATTGTCTGTGCTGCTGACACATGCCCAGTACAAGGAGCAGACTGAGCTCTCTTGAGTTCATCCACATTGTTAGATAGTGAAAAAACCCACTCGCTGCTCAGATTCAGAGCTCTCACACAACATGGTAATGGATTTAATACAAGTAAAAACTGAAGCAGGGTAGTCAGGAGCTATTTGTTCTCCAAGCCCTAAATGGATAGAGCAGGAAGTGCTGCCCTAAGAGCTGCAGCAAGATCCAGATTTGGCTTTTAGCAAAACTCCAAAGGCAAAGACAGTTTGTGTGCAGACACCATACATTTGTGGAATTCTTTAGCAGATCAGATCTGTTTGTCAGGGACCCAAGTATTGATTCATATCTGGAATGTTGCTCTTTCCAGTGCAACAAACCAAAACTCGCTGTGTGGAAAAGCTCAGCTGCAGATAAGTGATGTTGAAGTGAGCCAGCATGAAACCAGCCCTGCCTGTGCCTACAACATCCAGATGGGTCACAGGAGGGACTGGTCTGTCCTGAGGCACATCTTCATCCCCACTACAGCTCCAGGGCTGCTTCTGCCAGCGTGCTCACAAACAAGTGATGTGATGGCAGGAGAGTCTCTGCCTAATTGATGCTCTTTTTATACATTTTAGGGTAACTCTGGCCGATGTAAACCAATTTTCCAAAGTTTGAAAGTTTGGTTGCAAACATTCTTTTTGATACAATGCCACAGAGCTGGCAAGGTTTAAAATTGTGTAGTGTTTGTTCAGTATTTTCCTTCCCACACAGTTCTGCTAATTTTGGATCATGCTGTTTAGTCCAGTGGATGTAACTGAAGCAGAAAGGTTTGCTCAACAGCAATAAAGGCTGTAAAGTGACCATAATCCCAGTCATGGTGTGCTTGTAAAATAATGAGCAACCATGATTTAAGAGTTTAACTCTTAACTAATTTTAGAACTTATTTGTTGTTGTTTTGCCTTTTTTTTTTTTTTGTTACCAATAGTGAGGTAGATGCTTTCTTTCAGAATCTGTTTATGTTACTTATTAGGATGGAGAGGGTAAAGTGAGTCAGTAAATATGAAGGACAGTTTTGTGTCTCAAGTCTTATCCTGGTACTGCTTTTTAAACCAACTTTACTTTGAGTTTCTGGCTGCAGTTGTCAATGAGGCAGCAATTCCCACAGCCCACAATGCAGCTGTATGAAAGAAGCCAAATTCCAGTCCAGGTCTGCAGACTTTCCATGTCCTTTCCAGTCCTTCTTTTGGGGATGCTCTAGAGACACCACAGTGTGTGTGTGTGTGTGTGTGTGTGTGTGTGTGTGTGTGTGTGTGTGTGTATGAGTTGAAGGCTAGAAGACTGACTGTGGAAGCAGGAAAATGTTAATTTTGTTTCATTTGTTTGCTAGCAAGCTTTAGTGCTCAGCACTTAACTGAAGAGTAATAGCAAGTAACCCAAAAGTTGGCAGAAAGAGTTGGAAGTTGTCTTATTTTGTAGACAGAAGTACCGGGGAAAAGAAATTAAAACTGAGTTTTGAGAACTGTTCTTTGAATATTTTTATTTAAGCCCAGTTCTGAGAGTGATGTAGTTACATAAGAACTTGTGGCTTTTTGAAAATATCTGTGTCTGAAGGCTGAAAATCCAGTAAGAAAATAGAAAGAATGGCAAACACTGATTTTATAATGTGGTATTATTTTTAGGTTTGTTCTCATTACATTTTAGGGAACCTGCCCTGTTGTATTTTGTCTCCTTGAATATACTGAGCATTTTGAAGATGGTATAAAAGCAAATGTACTTTAAAGCATTTTGGAATAGAAAATGTTGGTTGTAAGACAGAAGATGCATTGCTGACAAAGTGTATTGTATATTCCTATACAGTTAAACAGTGCAGGAACCTCATTTTGGCAAGGACTGTGAATATCTGGGACATAAAGACGTACTTCAAATATTGTTGTGGCGAGGAGAGGCAAAAGGAGGCTGAAAGGAGGCTGGGGCCCCTATTAGCTGGCAGATTCACAGGTTAATTAGAATTGAGTTCAGGTTTTAGGCCAATTATAACAGGTTTCAGACCGATTTCCTTCGTTTCTCCACCTGTCATGTACACAAGTGCTCGGTTAGCCACTTAGCATGGTAAGTGCATGCAATCCTCCCCGTTACAGCCTGTGCAGTCGCGCTGTGCAGTGTGGGCAGGACAGTTCCCAGACGCAGACCTTTCCCCCTGGCAGCAGCTCCGTGCTGGGCGAGCTCTGCAGGGGCTGGGGACAGCCTTGTGCTGAGAGGGGCTGCTGGGCTGCAGGGTTCCCCACCCCACTTCTCTGACCCCTTCTCTCTCACAGGCAGGAATGGCATCTCCTGAAAACCCCGAGCAGTTGATCATTGCCCTGGAGCCCGAGGCTGCCTCTATCTACTGCCGAAAGCTGCGCCTGCACCAGATGATAGACCTGAGTAGTAGGGCACCTGTCAATGGCTACAGCCCGAGTGACACTATTGGAACTGGATTTACACAGGGTACTTCTGTTCATTCACTTTGCAGATTCTCATTGCTTTGTCCCCCAGGGCTGCTTTCTCACCTTTTCTTGTTGCCGTTGTTCCCTTGAAATGTTTCAGGCTGGCATCAGTTTGTTTTAAAAACTGTTTTGCTGCTTACCGTAGTTAGACTTGTTTATATGTTGACCCAGCAGACATCACAGAATGATTTGGGTTGGAAAGAAACTCAAAAATCATCTAGTTCCAACTCTCTGCCATGGGCAGGGACACCTTCCACTAGACCAGGTTGCTCCAATCTGGCCTTGGATACTTCCAGGGATGGGGCAGCCACAGCTTCTCTGGGCACCCCTCACTACCCTCACAAGGAACAATTTCTTCCAAATATACACTTGAATTTTAGCATGCAGGTAGCTTCTTTGTGTTGCCTTTATTTGGATGTTGTGGGAGTCTTTTAGTATTTTCACACCAGTATTTTTCTGCCTTAATTTAAGTTAGTACTTCATGTTGGATCATTTTTTTCATTTAATTTGTTGGAAGCAGTTATGTGTTTGATTATCTGCATTATTGAGGCAGTGCTAAATAACTGGATCTGCAATGAAATTATTAATCTGAGGTGTTCCCAAGTATTGGCAGATGCTTTTTGATGTCATCTTTATGAAATACCATTAATGACTTTCAATGTTCAGTGGGGCACATGGCATTGGAATGTAGCAATGAATTAATCTGCATGTTGAAGAGCAACTGGATAATGCACTTCTGATTTATTGAGCTGGGATCTGTTGCTACTGTCACTGTTTGAAGGGGAGGGACAGATTGGAGCACTGTAAGTCACTTGACAGAAGATCCTTCACCACCAGAGTTTTTTGAGCCTGGCAGCCTACTGAAACTGGAGGCAAATAGAGGAAACAGGAAAGGAAAATGGCCTGCAGCAGTAAGATCTGATAGCTGCTTAATGTGCCTATCTCTCTGTATCTCTGTGAATTGTAACAGTTGCCCTGATACTGATGGTAGTGTGTCAGTCTATCCTAGAAGGAGTTTTTCAGAAGAGTCTGTGTTTTATCACATTTGCTAGGTCAAAACAGGAGAGGCAAGTGGGAGGTTAAGCTAGTAGAGCTATTCCTGCACATATTTTTTTTTAGTTAGGCAGAGTGACTACATCATTCTCTCCAATCCATGGCTCTCCCAGCCAGCAGTTGTCAGATGTGTTCAGTGTTTGGAGACCCACACAGAGTACAGGACACAATCTGTTTTCAGGATTCTGTCCCTTCAGGGCCCCTTGGCTTCTGCCCCCCTCATTTGTACCCTGAACTGTTCCAGTTCCATGTGATGTTACATGAACTCACTTTCAGACAACACAGGGATTTGCTTCTGGGAAAATAACAAAGGTTTTGAAGCTGGGCACAATCTGGCAGATCATGGATTTCTGCTAATGGGCTTTTTCTTGGGTGGGGGTACCACTCTCATTCTTGACTTTGTATGGTAAAAAGCTATTGGGGATGAGAAAGGTTTCATGTCAAAATTAATGAAAACAAAGTTTGGAGTGAATTAATTCGGGGTTGGAATTAAAATTTCATAAAGGCATGGCAAGCACCCAAGACAAGCTGAGAACAGATTAAGGAGAAAAACCCTTTAAATATAAACAGAGAGAAGCACTCCAAGGACCATATTATTGCTGTGAAGTCAAAACAGAAATTTTAGTGTTCATAGTAGCAAGGATAAGTTTGCTTCAGTTGTAGTTAAAGACTGGCTCTTGTGTTCACTTCTAGCCCACAGGAGGGAATGAAAGGATTGCCATTGATTTCTGTGAGCTTGACAGGCCCTCACTTGGACCTAGTTCTTGTTCTGCCATGGAATTCTTCATCTGAGCTCTCCCTGTGCTGCCCAGTCCCTGAACTGGGGCTGGGGCAGCTTCTCTGCATCGTGGAGTCTTCCTGGGGAGGGTGCAGGAGCAAGTGGAGCTGATGCTCTATTTTCTGATGACAGGCACTACAGAAGTAGGAAGCAAAGTGCATTCTGTGATTTGCATGCTGGTATTTTCAGAAAGAATTTCTAGTCATGACAGGCTGCCTCTGTTGTAGTGTTTTATGAAATGCCTTTGAAGGTGAGTGATGATAACACAAGGAATGTAGGTTTTTTTGATCGTTCAGTTATGGAGGTTGATTTAGAGGCATAAATAGTAGAGGTTCTCACTACTCTGCTTTCTCCTGACAGACTGTTCTGCATCTTTTAAATGTCTAAGCAGCAGTTAAGTCTTGTAAGTTAATGGGTTGTTACAATAAGTAATAAGTATTCTTGCAAGATTACACTTAGTTTTTAATTGATGTATATTTTAAATATTGTGAGGGTCAGCCCTGGTGATCACTGTGTCATTAAGACTAATTCTAATTTTTACTTGTCCTTAAGATTAATTCTGAATAATCTGAGGAGCAGTGCTTCTGGCTGCTTGTTTTGGGGTAGACTGACATCCTGAGAGGCTGGGGAGGCGTATTTCCCTGAGCACTCAAAATGAGCAGTGGCTTTTGGAAATGTGGGAATGTTCTCCCATCCCGGGTGGTGGGGGGGTTGTCTGGGCGTGGGCTGGGGCTGCCACCTGCTGGTGGTGGAGGCTGCTGTGAGCACAGCTGGCTGCTGTGGGCACAGCTGGCTGCCAGCCCCCACCCTGCTGCCAGCACACGCTTTGCAAGCCAGAGTGTATTGAACAACTGCAAGTCAGACCTGTTTATAGCTTTCTTATTATTAGATTGTCACTATATATAATTAGTTTGCATTGTTTCTATTAGGTAATTTCTATAGATTAAAAGACAAATAAGTATATATAACAATATCAAGGAAGATCAGGGTGGCTGTAAACCATTTTTCCTTCTTTCCAGGAATTACCTTCTAACGTTCCTGGTCCCAGTGCAATAATTTTTGTACAGTTGTTAAGAAGGGATCCACACAGATCTGTCAGCCTGCTTGCACTTGTTTCCTGCAATTTTTGATTCTATTTCTTCAGGCTTTTTTTGACTCAATAGCTTTTTTTTTTGTCGATCACTAGGGAAGGAGCACGTGCGCCGGAACCGGCAGAGCCGAACCTTCATGGTGGAGAATGTCATAGGAGAGATCTGGTCTGAGCTGGAGGAAGGTACTGTCCTTTCTTCAGCAAACTTTGCTCTCACTGGTTTTGTATTGCAGGCAAATATTGTGTTTCCCACAAAGGTGCTGTGCACTGCATTGTTCTCACAGTGGTTATAAAGGGGAAAAGGAAAAAAACCACAAGTTCATGTGCTGCTCTTAGTTACAAGTGCTGAATTGCAATTCTGCATGCTCTAGCATAATAAGATTTATTAATGAGATAGTGGAAATATTATTCCATGCAACTGGAATATTTTCCTCAGAACAGGCTTTGTAAATATGGTATAATATTTGGTAGCCCACTAGGATGTACACCAGCAGCATGAGCAGTCCCACTTTTCAGCTGTGTTACATTAACAGCTTTTGACATCTGACTTTGATGTTTGTTATCAATCATTGTGTTGTAATTACTAGCAAAGATCAGGTCTTCAGCAGGGCCATTGCTGGCTGTCTGTAGGCCCTTATCTCCCCTATCTGGTGCCCTCAGGAGCTCTCACTGCAGTGAGCTGCTGTGCTCACAGTGGTGTAAATGGCCCTGGCCTGTCCCCTTGGCATTCCAGGTGATCGGTACATCGTGGTTGACAGCGGAGGAGGCACAGTGGACATGACTGTCCATCAGATCAGGCTTCCTGAAGGACATCTGAAGGAGCTCTACAAAGCAACAGGTATTCACAGAATCCACAGAATTACTAGGTTGGAAGAGACCTTAATGTCATTGAGTCCAACCCATGCCCTAACACCTCATGTAATGTCACTTCCACTGCTTGTTTTATGTAATTAGATTGTGTATTACATATGTATGTAATGTTTTGGCTTGTCAGTGAAGGAAATGTGTGCCTTTATTGCATTTTACGGACAGTTTTTCCTGAAATGAGACCAGCACACAAAATTAGTATAACCCAGTGTGGCATTCACATTCTCTGAACAGAGAGAGACAGAATTCTCTCTCCCAGGATTTTTCCTGGGAAAGGCAGTGAGAAACCTCAGAGAAGAAGACAATTCTTACCTCTATTCACTGCTCCTCTTGTTTTGCACCTGTGGAATGCCTTATGGAGATTGTTTACCAAAAGTGATTTGGTTATTGGACACCAGTGAAGATTGTTTTGTTTCCTTGGCCAGTTGGGTCAAAGCTGTGTCCTGGCTGTCTCAGACAGTCACGGGGTTTTCTTTAGTATCTTTTGTATATGGTATAGTATAGTATCTCTTCAGTATAGTTTTAACATAGTATAGCTTTAATAAAGCACTTGTTCAGCATTCTGAATCATGGAGTCAAAGCACATTATTCCCTGGCTGGGGGATCACCTGTTTCTACGATAACCCAGCTGCTGGTTGGACGAATCACTCATTTATAGTGGTAGTGTTAGAGTGGCTGTGATGATACAGGAGTAACAGTGAGGCAAAGGTAAGATCATGTTGTGTATTAGACCAACTGTTACATTTAGCAAAGATCCTCTTTTTGTGAACCTTCTCCTGTGACAGTTGTGAGAGTGTTGTTCTGATGTGTGTGTGGCCAACTCAAAATGTCATAGGAATATTAAAGCATATCCCGAATATTAAAGCTGTGTTTTGTCTGTACTACAGGTGGCCCATATGGTTCTCTAGGGGTGGACTACGAGTTTGAGAAGCTGCTGTGTAAAATCTTTGGGGAAGATTTCATTGAGCAGTTTAAAATCAAGCGCCCTGCGGCCTGGGTGGATCTGATGATCGCGTTCGAGTCCCGCAAGCGGGCGGCAGCTCCCGACAGGACCAACCCCCTGAACATCACCCTGCCCTTCTCCTTCATTGACTACTACAAGAAGTTCCGAGGGCACAGTGTAGAGCATGCCTTGAGGAAAAGCAAGTGAGTAGACAAGCACGTGGATGCAGAATTAACTACTGGTAGCAAAGACAAGTAATTAAAATATCCTAATTAGATTAGGACTGAAAGGGAATAGCGTAGAAGTGTAGTGCAAGGATGAGAAAGTGGGGTTGCATCTGGTGCAGTTTCCAGAATGAAAAGTTCTAATCAATTTCTTGCAAAGGCTTTTCTGTACAAGACTTGCATTTTACAGGCATTGCTTTCTATGACTTGTTAGGTCACCACTGCATCACTTTCTTTGACTGTATATTGTGAGTCTCTTGCATGTTAATTAGGAATGTCAGATCAAACACAGAATTTGTTGCCTAGAACCTTAATTTTTAGCAGCCTGGATCCTGGAAAAAATCCAAGGTTGTGAGATGTGTAAATATGTTTGTGGCTTGAGGGAAGTTATTAACAGCATCAGATCACTGGAGAAAACATACATACACTACTGCATAAAGCTCTGTAAGGGGAAGCATTCAGCTTTTGAAGTGATGGCAGGCTTTGCTTCTTATCTTGCTTCTTTAACAAGTTTGATAATTTACTTGATAGGCAGGGAGACATAATCCCCTCCAGAGATTTTAATTCATGTTTTTCAGTATCAAGAAGTCTCCCTGAATGACAAGATCGTGGGCTGCTGTAGAAAAGGAAGCGAGCAGAAAGTAGACATGGGCATTTTGCATCTCTTGAAGTTACATAGTACAGAAAACCTGGAGTTTAATGAGAATGAGCAAAAGAACCTGTGAATCTGGGACAGAATGCTTGGGACCTGGGAGGGGAAGATTTGATATTTAGTACCTGTACCTTAATTTTTTAAACTAGCCAGTGTTGAATGTAATATGCAGGCTGGAACTCCTGCATCTCTTTCAGAAGTTATTGGTAAATGTACTGGAAGCTTAAGTGACTTGGAATCCAGCTAAAAGTTTCTTTTTAAATGAGACTGAGGTTCTGAAGTCATTAAAAATTTCTGGAAGTCCTCCTTCTCATGAGGCCATCTCCTTTTTATTAGTAGTCTTAATGGTGAATCTTAGAGGAAATGATAAATGCTCCCTTTAAATGAAATGAAATCAACTGGATAACAGGATAGAGTGAATGTAAAGGTTAACATATAATGTTCATGAATGTAAGGGAGATTACTGAGCTATACAGATGTGTATCAGTGATAGAATAGCATAATGCCTGTGTTCACTTAATAAATGTTATGCCTCATTAAAAATGCAATTCTCTCTTCTGCCTCCTGAGGCTTCCCAAGTTGCTTGTTTTCCTTGTGTGTTTCCAGTGGCTTTGGCCTGCCACTGCTATAATCTAAATGTTGCCCTTCTGGGGATGAATCAGTGCTGTTTCAGATGAGCGAGCACTGCATTGACTGCCAGCTGTTTCAGAGAGCAGTTGAGCATTGCTAATGCTGCAGAAGGCAATCAGGCAAAGAAAACAACAATTAGACAAGCCAAAATAATAATTCTCCCTTCAAGTTTTACATAACTGCAGTTGGTATGGGGCTAGGGTGAGGTGGAGCACTTTGTTCCAAGGAAAATGCATGCAGATTCTGTAAACTCATTAATTTATTTAATGCTGGTTGTTTCACAGCTCAGCTGCAATGCTTTAATGTTCTTTCTCACTGTTCCTTTGCAGTGTGGACTTTGTGAAGTGGTCCTCCCAGGGAATGCTGAGGATGAGCCCAGATGCAATGAATGCTCTTTTCAAACCTACAATTGACCAGATTGTTCAGCACCTGAGTACGTATCTGTGTGGGGTTCCACTTCCTGGCTGAGCTCAAACTGAAGCTTTGCTCACCCTTTTCTACCCACTGACAACCCTCCTGGTATGCACCAGTTGTTGACAAGGAATTCAGTTCTGAAACTTGCAGGTCTCTACAAATCAGCTAGGAAAACAATAAAAGGAAGGGATGTGTCCTGAGCACATGCTCCTGTCTAGCTCTAGTGCTAGTTACTGAGTGTGATTCCGTTCTGGTACTGCCTAGCTCCAATTATTCTATGCTTCCAGGGCTGCAAGCACTCAGAGGGCTGACATCCACTGAGAAACCCAGATCCTGCCTTTCTTTTTCCTGGTTCAGGCAACAACCAAATTATGCCAGAGTTGTATCTCATTTCTGACTATTCCAGCTATTAAGACCTCCGATTCATTCCTCCCTAGTGGAAGGTCACATTTGTTCATGACCATCACTGACATCTCTAAAGCACAAATAGTAAATGATGCATCATGGTAAATGTACTTCCAGGCATGGCTTAAGCAGCAATGAATTTATTTGTCCAGTAATGGAAAGTGACATGTGCTTATTGGGAAAGTTATTATTTAAGGTCTTCCTAGCTGAAGATGAAATTAGTATCAAGTGGAGTATAATGTTTGTGGTGAGAAAAGTGTGCTTTTTACATGATTTAAAGCACCATTTGGAAGAAATGTGCAGCTTTGCTCATCACGTGTGAGGGATTATTAGCTAAATTTCAGAACTTAATAAGACAAGTATAGAGCAGCTTATATGTGAGCAGGGAGGGAGACACCTGGGACTGCAACACTTGTGACAGGTAACTCACTTGTTTGAACTAAAAGTGAGCCTACTACTGCACTGCATGGTTTTCTTGAAAGTAGATGTAGGCTTAAGCTAAGAAGGAAAATCTGTAAAAATGTGAAGAGGGATTATTTTACAGATGGTATTTATTGTGGTTCTGATAGGGTCACAAATAATAAGTGAATTCGAAATGGAGTGATTTATCTGGAATGCAATTTATGTTCAGTTTAAAGTGCCACTTCAAAAATGTTGTTTGGTTTGAGGTGAGTGAATTCATAGTGAAATACACTAGAGATAACAGAAGTGGGACTGGTGCTGAGGGGGTGGCAGTGTGGGCACGGATGCGGCAGTTTCAGATCATGTGCATGGAACACTCAGTGCACTCAGACATTGCCATTTTCACTTGCATTGCCTTGTGAAAGTGGATTTTACTGGATGCTCTCTGTTTCTGCTCAGGTGAGGTGTTTGATAAGCCAGAGGTGACCAATGTGAAGTTCCTCTTCCTGGTGGGCGGCTTCGCTGAATCGCCCTTGCTGCAGCAAGCCGTGCAGAGCGCTTTTGGCTCCAGGTGCCGGGTCATCATTCCCCAGGATGTGGGGCTGACCATCCTCAAAGGGGCTGTTCTCTTTGGCCTCGACCCTGCGGTGATCAAGGTGCGGCGCTCCCCGCTGACCTACGGCGTGGGGGTGCTCAATCGCTTCGTGGAGGGCAAGCATCCCCCGGAGAAGCTCCTGGTCAAGGACGGCACGCGCTGGTGCACCGACGTCTTCGACAAGTTCATCTCAGCCGACCAGTCCGTAGCCCTGGGAGAGACTGTGACCCGCAGTTACACACCCGCCAAGCCTTCTCAGTTAGTGATAGTGATCAATATCTACAGCTCGGAGCAGGACAACGTCAGCTTCATCACCGAGCCCGGCGTGAAGAAGTGCGGCACGCTGCGCTTGGATCTCACGGGAACTGACGCCTCCGTGCCCAACCGGCGCGAGATCAAAACGCTGATGCAGTTTGGGGACACTGAAATCAAAGCCATGGCTGTTGATGTTGCCACCTCTAAAAGTGTCAAAGTTGGTATTGATTTCTTAAATTACTGACGGCCCTTTCCCCCGCCACAGCCTGTTTGTGAGACTGATCTTCCACTGTTCCGTTTTTTGACTTCTGTCTGTCATGTCATCACCGTGAATTTCAGCAGGCTACATGAGAACAGCTAGTGAGGTGGGGTGTGTTGTGGTTGTGTCCTTTGGTGACCAAGGACTGCATTTTGAAAGACCCTTAAAAAGTTTTAGGAGCAGAAGTTCCAGAGGTAGTAAAAGTTACCAAGTTACTCACGCATGCTTATAGATCTACCTTTATAAAATAAACACTGATTATAGTTGGGTCCTGAAGGTTAGTTAAAAAAATACCAAGTTGTAATCTCTTTGCCTTGTTCTTCTTCCTCTTCCTCCTGAGAAAAACTCACTAACCCACGTGGCTGTTGTAGGGGGTGTATCTGTGTGGGATATCTGTTTAAACAGCACCATCCTCTGGCAATGGGAACAAATTAGTAGTTTTATTGTATTCTTTTGATTTTGCCCAGTGCTTTCAGAATTTAAAGTGCTGAAAATTAATGACTCAAAGAAATAGGATCTCAATTACATAAATTCTGTGTAAAGAAAATCCCCAGAAATTCTTAAATTTATATTTAGGAAATACATATGTGTTTTGGGGGCCTAATATTGATTGTTCCAGGTTAAAAACAAGGCCTTTGTTGTCAGAGCTCTCAGAACAAGCTGTCAGATTAATTAGCTAGCATTGCCCTTATTATACTTTGGAAAATAATATTAAGAACAAACCTATTTCTCTTTTGGGTCTTCTAAGGTTATTTTATTAGTCTCCATCTGAAACCACAGAATCACAAAGTAGTTAAGCTTGAAGGGGACATCCATTGACTGTCTGATAAAACCTTTCTTTCTAAGCAGTATCACTCAGAACAAGTTTCTTTTTCCAATTTTATGGTCTCCAAAGTGAAGATCCCTAAACTCCAGGCAGCTTATTTGACAACCCTCACTGCAAAGGTTTTTTTCTTACACTTAAAAGGAATTTATTGAGTTTAAATTTGTGCGTGTTGCCTCTTTCTTGCTCCTTCACTGGATACCTCAGAGAAGTCTGGCTCCATCCTCTTTCCTGTCTGCTCTCAGACATCCCTAGCATCCCCTGAGCCTCCCTGAGTCCAGCAGCCCCAGCTCTCACAGCCTCTCCTCACATGCAAGATCCCCCAGTGCCCTCTCCCTTTGTGGCCCTTTGCTGCTCCCAGAGCTGTGTGTCTGTGTCTCTCTTGCCCTGGGAAGCACAGAGCCGGCCCTGGCACTCAGATGTGGTCTCTGCAGGGCTGAGTCAGGGCATGATGCCTTTCCTGGCCTGCTGGCAGTGCTGTTCCCAGGGCAGGGGCACGCTGCTGGCTCAGCTCAGCCTGGCCCAGTGCCTGCCACCATGCCAGGGGCTGCGCTGCCAGGCTGCTCCCAGGCAGCTTCTCCTGGTGCACGGGCTCCTTCCTGCCGCCTTCAGGACTCTGCACTTGCCTTTGCTGAGCTTGATGAGGTTCCTGTCTACATGTTTCTCAACATCCCTCTGACCCGTCTGCTTTATCAAGCACCTCCCCAGGTGATTATGTTTCTTTTCGTGTTCATTCCTGTGTTAAGATTTGGAAGCACAGCTAGATGATGGCTGTCCAGAAACATTTAAACAATTCACAAGAGACAAAACATTCAGATCTAAAATACTGCAATTCATTTTTTTGTAGCAAACATTTTCATTCAGTAAAATATATTGCTGGGTTGATTTGAATGGCCAATGAAGTGGAAGGCAAAAGCCAATAGAATGAAACTACAAATAGCATTAAATAAAGCATTCCTTACCTGGCAGTGAGCACAGAGCTCTTGATGCAGGAGAAATGCACTGATGGCCATGGTAGCATCTTGTTTTCCAAATAAGAACTTTGTGAAAATGTTTCCTTAAGCGTGCTCACCTGGCAAATTTCTTTTGCAACTAGAATAGTTTTTATTTAGCAAAATGCTACAGGAAGAAAACTTCTGAAACCTACATTCTGCATCTGTCATGAACTGACAATTTCAGATTCAAATCCTGATTCCACTCTGAATTAGCAGAGTGGTACAAACCTGCAGAATCACCCTAAAATGCTGACACTTCCCAGTGCATTTATACAGAGCTGCCCAATTACCTGCTGGAATTCATTACATTTTCAAAATGTTGCAATGTTAATTATTAATCTAAACCTTCCTTTTTAAATAGTTGAGCATGAGTTAAATCCATTACTGACATTTTTGGGAGATTAAAGCTTTAACAGTTATTTCATTAATTTATGTTCCAAACCTGTACTTAAACTTTCTGTGTTTATCCTGGAGTTTTGCCACAGTAGAGAGCTGGACAACTGATCCACTGCATTTTGTCATTGAGTTTTCTGTGTCTCCTGCAGAATTCCCTGATTTAATGGGAAATGTGTTCTGCATTCAGCTTTAAAATAAATAAATAAAGGACTATGGAGAATGCTAGTCACAGTATCCTGCTGGATACTTTCTATAATTACAAAGTGTGCTTGCTAGCAGTCGATTTCCTGCTGCCTGCTAAATGCTTTAAAAGCTAAATACTGGGATTTTTTTGTGTGTGCTGCTTTCCATGGTTTACAAACAAGAGAAACTTTAAGATGAGTTATGAACAATATAATTTTATGTATATACAATATTTAAATATTGTACAGACTCTTTCTTTCTACAGTGCTATTTTCTTGTATAAAAATGCACTTTGCCTCTGTTGATTTCATTCAGCTGTTAATTTTAAATAACACAGTTTCTCAATCAGCTTCTGTAATTATAGGCTTTTAAAGATGGTAAGATATGAAATGTAAAAGGCCGATCTTATAATAATAGGAAAGAAATGTTGGTGTGTCAGAGAATACAACATTCTTCCTGCAATGCAAGTCATACCAGCTAAGCACATCACACAAATGCAATAGTCTGCTGCTGGGGTTTTCATTTCTTTGTTTCAGATGGTGACCATTCCATCTCCGGCAATTCTTCATAATAATGGATGAATCCTCCTGTAAAACCAAAAATCAGATTGTAAAATCTGGGTATACAGCTTCTTCACTAGGTTTTGGGTTTTTAATAAGGATCTTCTCTAGTTTAAAAAACAACAACAACAACAAATGAAAAACTACCTCCCAAAGCCAGGCAACACTCTTGTATTGTCACTGCAGGTAAGACACAGTCTCTGTCTGCCACTTCCACCTGCCAAAAACCAAAATTCTTACAGAAAAATAGGCTTTGCTGTCTTTGCATGCTATGTTAAGCTGAATCTGTCCAGTTCTGCACAGATTTGTTTTCAGTGGCCTTAACACAGGATTTGGTTTAATAAACGGCTGCCACCCCCTGTCCCCCCTGTGAAGAGGTGGCCTGCAAGATCAGGTGCCCCATGATTTTTGTGCTGTTTGCAGCCTGTCTGCAGGGAAAGCTGCAGGTGCATTCTGCAGCTCCTCTGAAGCACAGTTCCCTGCACAGCAGTGATTCTCTGCCCTTTCTAGTTCACCTTTTGTAAGATCCCATCTGGATCCAAGCAGGGGCTTGTTGCTGAAATCCCTGTAACTGTAAAACGTGGTTTACATATTTTTGCACTTCCTCCTTCAGTCTGGTGAGAACACTATCAAGCTTATCTTTGCAGAGCACTGAACTACTGAACAAACTCCCAGCTGTCCTTGTTGCCCTCTTTCAGAATGGAAAATTAGCTTGTCTCTCTAAGGAATTAGAATTGTTAAGTAGAATATTATGCTGTGGTCTGTAGACAATAACCCAATTAAACAACTTTACATTTTAAGAGGCATGTGGATGCCCATTTCGATAAAGGATGTTAGGTTGTAAAATTTACATTAAATTTACTAGGAAATGAGGCATTTTTAGAATTGTAGTTGTGATACTTTTGCAGGACATTCCCCTGCAGAGCACTTTTTTTGGTAGGGGTTTCAGATGACATTGTGCAACTTGGTGTTGGAAAGACAACAAGGCCAGCTATCCATAGGGAAAGCAGAAGGTCTTGGCAGGAGTTTTGCTGTAAGCAGCAATTTGCAAGTTTGGGTCCAAGTTACTGAACTCTAGGCTGAAGTTTAGCAGCTAATTGTAATGGAATGGTTAATTGTGCTAGAATATGATAAATGTGCAGTGGTGGTTAGGACAGTTTTCAGTGGTATGAGTATACCAATATTCAGATACAGGAGTTTTAATGCATTATTATGAGAAGGCTAATTATATATTGCAGAGATTTAATAGCCAAGATAAGCTGCATATTTATGATATGAAGTGGCTTAAGCGGATGAATAGTATAAAAGTTGTTGGGCATAATGTCACAGTACTCACCTGCTTGAAATAGTCTTAAACTATATTATAAAACCAACCATTGTGGTCTTGTTCACCTCTGTGCAAGATAAATTCAGATTTCACTGATACTTGGAGCTGTTCACAACTTGTCTGGATTGTATCTTGAGTGTTCTTGTGTCTTCAATCATGTCAAATAAAATACCTTAAAACTAATTTCTCTTTTTGGGTGCTACTATTCTTATGAAAATGGCTATAAAAAGAAACCTAATTTATTATGAAAGTGAGACAGGCCAAGTGGTTATGCTTGAATTTGGATGCTCCTTCATGTGTGAAACTGAGCAGAAGTGACACCAGCCATCTGTATGGCTTTGGTTCACTTGTGTGCCAAGGTGGAACTTCACTGCTGCTCGTGACTCAGCTTCCAGCAAAATTGGTGTAGCTCTCTGAGTAAGGTGTTTGTTGGGCAGTACCAAAAGCAGATCAGGTGTTTTCTGCAATGATGCTCTCAGAGAGCCGAAAATGAAATACAAAATCTGATATATCAAAGAGAGGTGTAATCTCTTAGTTCTTGTATTATTAAAAGCTGTTTTATTGTTAAAAATGCACCATCAGGCCAATAAGCTGGCCAGTAACCAGGCATATTAGCATGAGAATGTGCCTCTTTATAGATGTAGGGATGTTCAGTAAGGTCCAGCTGCACTGCAAAAACCCTTGCAGAGCAGTTTGTGCAGTATTACGTTTTTCTGCTAACAGCTGTAGGCTGTGTCCCTCTGAAATTCAGCAGTGTTGGCACAGGCTCTGGAGGTGATTCAGTGGCACAGGTGACCTTGGTCCATGATGCTGCAAAGATGCAGAGGGTGAACTGAGAGGCTTTAGCAGCCACTACACCCAACTTCCACCTATTTGCTGCAATGAAGGTGTTTTACAAGTGCTTTATGACTATAATTATAAACACCATCCTAATAGGCTAGGTACTGTATTTAACTTGTAATGAACTTGATTTCAGCTAAACATTCAATTAATGTTACTAGTACAATGGGAAATATAATTACAGTCTTCAGAGACGCATTAAGAACCAAATTTTGCTTTCAGTGTTCTACCACACTGCTGAAGACTCCAGTGGAGTTTCATGTGTGTGCATTCAGAATTTGGTCCTTATACTGGACTTTTCTAAATCTTACGACCTCCTCGTAGGAGTGTGTTTAGATTTAAAGCTACAGCCCCATCTTGATAGAAGGGATTTTGTTTAAGTTGTTGGTTCTATGAAATCACATTAGTCCTTACTGAAATTTGCAGATTTTGTGTTCATGGGAATAGCTATGGGATAAAACAAATTGTGAAAGGGCCTCCCTGACAGCAGTGTCCAGCTCTCTGGCTGAGGGACAATGGATTCAGAATTCCTTTACTCAGTGCAAGAACTGCTCGGTTTTCAAGAGATGCAGCCTGGATAAATTAGTGAGAAGTGCAGATGCTTTGTGTGACTGGAATTCAAGCCTGGTTGTTGCCAGTCTTGTACTTCATTTTTTTTTAAGGAATAAATTCTATTTTATTAGTTCTCATTCATGCCTTGCTGTGTTCTAACAATCAAAAGCAATTTTGTGGTGGAATCAGTGCAGGGTCACAATAAGGTATTGTGCTTTTTTCCTTCAAGTCAGAGACTTGAATGTGAGTATTTTAAAAAAAGAAGTTGTTTCCACCACACCCTGTGCAGTTCACAGATGCAAAGATCCTTACAGCAAAAACTGTCTTGTGCCATCCTTATGTACATTGAGTCAGTTAACTGCAAACATTTTTCTGCAGACCAAGAAATTCTGTGTTGTCTTTAGTTAATGTGCAATTGATTAGGTACTGGCTATGATTTTAAAGTAGTACCTGTTGTCTAATTTTTCAGGGATTGTAATCCTAGGGAAAGGTTTACTAGATGCCATATCCCAGGAGCTCTGGCCTTGTGTCCAGAGCAGAAGTTACTGGATGAGGCCATGGTGTTCATTACCAACAAATGGCAAAAAAAATGAAGAACTTGGTAGATTGAATCCACTATGATCCTTATGTCAGTGTCCACAGGTGAGCTGACACAGACATGGAGAAATGAAAAATAAATCTCAGCTTTCTCTGGGAGTATTGTGAGTGCAGCAGAGCCAAGACACCAAAGGAGGACGATGC